AAACACTATGCTCAATGACCTCAATAGTGCCTCCCAACGGATAGGTCTTAAGATGAACATGGACAAAACAAAGATCATGTTTCATGTCCATGTCACACCTATGCCGGTAGTTGTTGGGAGTACTAAGATCGAAGTTGTTGACGAGTACGTTTACCTGGAACAAATAGTCCAACTTCGACCGAGAGGTCAATCGACGGATTCAACTCGGCTGGGCAGTTTTCGGGAAATTACCGACACATCTTCTCGTCAGGTATACCTCAAAACCTGAAAACTAAGTTGTACAACCAGTGCGTGTTGCCAGTGATGACATATGGAACTGAGACGTGGTCTTTCACTTTTGGCCGTATGAGGACACTCAAAGTCGCTCAGCGAGCTATGGAGAGGGCTATTATTTATAATAATATATATAGCCCTATATATATATATATATATATATATATATATATATATATATATATATATATATATTATTAGGATGCAAAAACGATGTGTAAGGTCAATGTGTGGTCTCAAAATAACAGATAGCTGTTTTCCTTATTTTAAATACTTAAAAATCCTAACACTGCCGTCATTGTATATACTGGAAACAGCTATTTTTGTAAAAAAGCATCCATTTCTTTTCCAAAAAAATATCTGATATTAGAAAGAATCCAATACGCACCCACTACAAAAATAGGTTATGTAACATAAAATGTAAAACATCATTAATGAAAAAAAGCTTTTTTGGTATTGCCCCTCAAATTTATAATAAACTACCTGATTCAATAAAAAATATGACCTTATTTAAATTTAAAAAGGTGCTGAATGACTTATTAATAGACAAATGTTACTATAAAATTGACGAGTTCTTGAATGAAAATTTTGACTAGTTACTTTTTATTGAATATTAATTTTTTTTTTTTGTTATTGTAATCAATTTAATTTTATAAATGTAGAATTTTCATTAGTATTCCAAATTCAATTATTTCTATTCTATTTTATTTTATGACATGATTTTTCAAATGAACTCAATTATATTTGTATGTCTTTAAGACAAAACATATATTGTATTTGCACACCTCATAAGGTAATAATACAGTGTACATATTATAATTTTTCTGTAACACCTTTTATACCTGTGTTATGCAAATAAATGAATTTGAATTTGAATATGCTCGGAGTTTCTCTGCGTGATAAACTTAGAAATGAGGATATCCGCAGTAGAACCAGAGTGACCGACATAGCCCAACGGATTAGTAAGCTGAAGTGGCAATGGGCCGGCCATATAGCTCGAAGAACCGACAACCGTTGGGGAAAAAGGGTTCTCGAGTGGCAGCCTCGTACCGGTAGACGAAGTGTAGGGCGACCACCCACTAGATGGAGTGACGACCTGGTAAGACATGCAGGAAGTCCATGGATGCAGGTGACTCAGGACCGTGCTTTGTAGCATACCTTGGGGGAGGCCTATGATCAGCAGTGGACTTGTATAGGGCTGTAATGATAATGATGATGATGATGCATTTTATTGATTAATCTCATATTTCAAGAGTTAATGGCCGCGATAGAAAAACCGGTTCATTAAATGCGCCATAAATCGTAAACTGTAAGTGTTACAAAAAAGTTTACTGGAAACGAAAGATGCGAAATTTTATTCTCTACAATAATGGTATGTATAACTTTTGCCTTCAAGTACATAGTTTTCGAGATATCGGCTGAAAACCTTTTATCAAGATGGCGCTTCAAGCGGTACCTGGATCTTTGAGCATTTTGTGATGTTATGCTCAGTAAGTGACCCTAAAACTTATAAAAAGAAATTGGATCAGAAATTTAGTGCAAAGTTAAATTCTATTTTTACTGCTCTATGTTTTCCACCGGCGTTTTTTCCGGACCGATACGACTTATGGACCTTCAAAAAAACAGCTAACTCCTTTCTAAAAGGCCGGCAACGTACCTTCGATTCACCTATGTTGCGGTTTTTTTTTGCGCCCGAAGCACAGAAGAAATATTTGCAACCCTCCGGTAAGCGGGGGAGGGAGGTGGGCAATGCTCATAGCATACACGCAGTGGCGAAGCTTCCATTAAAGCCGAAAAGCCGGGCTTGCCTTATTAAACCTGAATCAATCAATAATATCAATCAATAATATCAACTAATAAAATAACTCGTAAAATGTTTCAATCTATTTCAAATTTCCCGCGCACTCCACTGTTCGACACATGTCGCCGATGACCTCGTATTGCCTTAGCGATACTGCTGCTGTCATAAAAAATGAGTTTTAATAGAGCCAATAGTTGTCTCCCTCGCTCGTGTGGGCTTTTTACGGGGCTTTCGAGAAGACGATCGCTCTCTTTCTAACCTATGGAAAAATATTCTATAATGAAATATAACTACGATTGTATATATAGCAATTAGTATTAGAGATTTAAAGCCAGGCTTTTGGGAATAAATTTGTTAAAAGCGGAGGCGCGCGGGCAATACGTTTGCAAGTTCATTTCACGTTTCAATGTTTATTTACTCTGTGTGCTTATCTTAAGCGATTTAATATTACGAGTTCAAAATTTATGCTTTTTTAAAGATTTTTTAATGAAAATGGAGTATAATAGTTTTCCTTGTGATGAATTGAAGTGTTTTAAAGTGATAATCGGAGAGGAAATCTTTAAACTTTGTTGAGATAATACACAAGGTTAAGAGTGTATTTCAGACTTTTCAATTATCGCAATTAAAAACAGTTATTGGTACAATTAAAACGTTCACCAACATTTTACGTGGACGTAATTAAATCTTTCCATAAGAAAGCGAGACGATTCCACTTATCTTATCTTATCTCTTATCCATTAGAATGTAAATAATTTTTTTTTTAATTTTGTACATAGTTTATTTGTACTTTGTTCGTGTTTTATTTTTATTCATGTATTGTATTGGATGTAAATATATTTTTTCTTTCGCTTAAACAAACTCAAACGGCTTTCTTCAAAGCCACCAAAGCTATGCAATTGCTGATATGTAATACAATATATCTAGCAGTGGTATGCCTTCTGTGTGCTTTGTTAAACACGTCCTTGACAGCACAGAATATGAAACTGAAGCGTGAAGACAGATCAAGATTGTGTATTTTTATAAAACTGCTAAAAACAACAATCTATATTTTTATCAATTTATATCTTGGGCTTGCCCTAGCTTGGAGCTCTAGCTTCGCCACTGATACTACGCAGCCGGCTGCGTGTTTATGTGGAGATTTTTACCAACTAAACCCCACCTTTTAGGGACTGGCTTAACGGTCTAACTAGAGATCTCTAAGCCGTATACGAACGCGACCCTCCTTGGCAGAAAGGAGGGCGCAAGCGGCGAAAAGCCGCTTAGAAGTGTGCCTAATTAAGGCAGATTAAGGGATGTGTTATGTAGGCTCAGCCTGAGCCGCCAGGAGGCAGTTCAGGTCAGCTGAAAGCTTGTTGGGGGGTCCGAGAGAGAGTTTCTCGGTCTACACACACTATAACTAGTGTGGATAGGGACAGCATAGGCAGCTGTCTCACGAATGAGATGATTTGGGTGGGACTCTGAGGCTTTGAAAAATCTCTCAGAGAGTGATTTAAAGAACTGCTGGATTGTTGGGTGCTCTAAGTCTCTAAGCTCTAGGCCCTACGACAGAATAGATTTTGACTATTTGAAGTTCATTTATAACTTTGGGCTTAGCATGTGCGAAAATGGGGGCCGCGTAAGTCATGACAGGTCGTATGCAGACCTTATATATGGTTCGCTTATTGCGGAGGGACATTTTACTGTGTCTGCCCAACATGCTGTTAAGCCTACCCATGTAAAATCGCGCGGTGCGAGTTACCTTCTTGATATGGGGCTCGAAAGTGAGCCTTGCATCAGGGGTGACGCCTAAATATTTGGCGTTTGTTTGCCATGGGACAGGGGTTCCTAACATCCTGATTGGCGGAGTGGCGGTGAGACGGCGTTATTTATATTCGAAGCAAACGGCGGAGCTCTTCTCCGGGTTTAAGTCGATACGCCATTTTTGGAACCAAGCTCCTGAGTCACTAACTGACTTTTAGATCTTGTTCCGGATCTGTAGCAGTGAGTTGCCTTTAGAGTAAAGGGCTGTGTCATCTACGAAGAGGGCTAGTTTAACACCGTTCGACGGGATAGGGATGTTGATGGTGAATAGTATATATAGGAGGGGGGCAAGCACAGAGCCTTGAGGGACATCGGCTTTGATTTGACGAGTAGAGGAAAGCGTGCCTTCGTATCTCAAACGAAAGGTACGATCCTTCAGATAGGAGGCTACAAGGCGGACGAGACGGTCAGAGAGGCCTAAGTCATACAATTTGTAGATAAGGCCCTCGTGCCAGACTCTGTCGAATGCCTTGGCAATGTCGAAAAAGACCGCGATGGTCTTTTGACGGCGAGGATAAAAACCGCTGAGGATATATTCTACTATGCGGTGAACTTGCTGGGGGCACAAGTGTTTGGCTCGAAACCCGAATTGTTGAGTGATGACAAGAGGGTCGCCGTCTGTGGGAAAAAAATGGCGCTCCATGCGCACGAGAATAACTCGTTCGAAGAGTTTGCCCATGGCCTTGAGGAGGCTGATGGGACGGTGATTGGATGGGAGGTGGTGAGGTTTGCCTGGCTTGAAAATGCCAATGATAGTTGCCTCTTTCCAAGAGGTGGGAGGTGGTGTTGCGGTTGTTGATGACCGGCGGTAGTCACTTCAACCATCAGTTGAGCCGCATGCTTGTTTGCCCTCTCTTCAATAAAAAAAGTAATTTTATTCTCTTTGGTATATTCCTTGTTGGCAATAAAGAGAATGTAATTGGCAACTGGCAACACTAAAGTCATTATGTGACGTCATTATGGCCTGGTTGGGTTAGGTTTGCTTGGAAATTTTTGTTAATAATCTTGTATTTTAGTATAATATATGTTGTGTTACTTATTTTAGATTAGTAATATAAATACCTCAAATAGCAGCAGTAATTTTGGTGCCAAGTAGTGTGTATTACGGCGACATATTCTGGCGAAAATGAATCGCCATGAAGGTGGGTAATGATAATCAAAATTTGTACGATGCTTTTGTCACTGTAAATTTCTATGTAAAATATTATTGTTATCTTAAATTTATTTTGTTTTTCGTTTAATTGTTATGGATAAAGAAGAATTACGAAATAATTTTTGGTTTGTATTTACGTCTTTCCAGGAGTCAGCTGTGATTCTTGTTTGAAAAATAACTTCAGGGGACGACGATACAAATGTTTGATTTGCATCGACTACGATTTGTGCGCTACTTGCTATGAATCCGGCGCCGTTACGAATCAACATACAACAGAACATCCTATGCAATGTATCCTTACAAGAAGTGATTTTGGTAAGATATATTTTGTATAGTATTTTTTCTATCGTCAGTGATATGACCTAGTTTATAACTGTTCCTTTCAATAACTGTTATATTTTTCTTGTATGTGCTATAACTTCATAATTGATGTAGAATTTCTATGATTTTGGGTTTTCTACCATGGTTTTAAAGAAAATTACTGTATGTTTTTATTATTCTTATTTTTGAACCAATAGAAATTACGTATAACAAAAATTATTTTAGTTTATGTGAATTCAAAATATTTTTAAGTATTGCCTTTAATAAATGGCATTTTATTCCTTTTTTGTATATTTAAGTATCCAATCTATTGTAAAGGTGGATGATCATAAAAGACTGAGACATTTACTAGTAATTAGGCAATAATATTTATACTTGTTAATGAAATTAGTAACTTATCTTTTTTCATAATTAAATGATGTTACTATATTGTAAAACAAATCCTAGATCAGTCATACTACGAACATAAGTATTAACACTATTTATTTTGTTATGGTGGTGATAGTAGGTTTTCACTAGGATCTACTTACAGTCAGTTATTAGTTTATTATCAATTTACTGACATGTAAGTTACTATCTGAATGAACTCAATACTGTTTAAAAAAAATAAGTAAATTAACCTTAAAATATCCATTAAGTTTTATTTTAAAATAGGCAAAAAACCTTTTATTGAGGCTCCATTGCATTAAGTTATCTGCTATTTTAAAATGAGTATAATTTTGTTGCTAAACCATGTTACATAACTCCTAAAGCTCATGCTGTGATCCTAACAATAAATCCAATAAAAAGTATTAATGGTTATAACACCTTTATCTTGTGATATTTCATAAACAAACTTTTTATTGTTATATTTTATAATTGCCCACAACTGACATTTCCTTGCCCTAAACTAGTGATGCACAGACTTATTAAGACTAGGGGCCACTCGCGGCAATTTATGAACTGATGGCGGGCCGCCAGAAGTATAGGTAATTAAAGACAATAAAGAATTGATAATAATGTATTCAAATTGAAAAAGAATTTATTAATTTGAAGCGTGGCACTGCATAGTGCTTACAATCTTTTTTATATTTGGCTCAAATTTACTTGTAGCAACACGTAAAACTGCTTCCAAACTTTCATTTAAAGGTAGAACCAAATAAGCTGGAACATTTCAGAGCATTTATGCGCAACTCTTTGTACGTATTTTTATCAATGCAGCGGTAAAAGTTCAGCAAGTCTCCTTCGTTGAATTTGTTGTGTAAATCTTGGTCGTTTTGAATGTCGATAATTTCTAATTGCATTGACTCTGGCGCCTTTTCAACTGAAATCGTTAAAGGATTGCTGAATATGTCCAACAGAGGTTTCACTTTTTTTAAACTCCGAAAATCTGTCTTGAAAAGATTGAATCAAAATATCTAGCTTTTCAACATAACTGAGATTAATCGCAGTTTTGTTGAATTTTTCAGCCATTTTCTTATAATTCGGAAAATTATTTTAATTTCCAGAATTCAATTGCGATCTGAAAAGTGTCAGCTTGCATTGAAAGGATGATACATGAGCGTAGAGCTGGGATATCAGTTGATTTTTGCCTTGAACCGTGTGTTCGAGACATTCAAATGATTTGTAATATCAACTAAAAAAGCCAAATCACACAACCAATCAGGATTTTTAAGTTCCGGGACATCCCTTTGCTTTTCCGCCAGAAATATTCTAATTTCTTCTATTAAATTTAGAAATCGTTCCAGTGTCAATCCGCGACTTAGCCACCTTACTTCTGATAATATATAATACAGTAATTACTGGTTGTCTGGAAGAAATTGCTATCAGCAATAGACCGCCCATTGCATACTTTTTGTATATATAATTAGCATTTTTTTTATGGTGTGCAATAAAGAATATTAAATAAATAAAAATCTCCATATTCGCTTTCGATGTCATCAAGGAATTGTTTGAATTGCCTGTGATTGAGTCCTCGTGATTTTATGAAATTTACAGTCGAAACTACCACTCTCATGACATTTTGAAATTCAATTTTTTTAGAACAGAGGGCTTCTTGGTGTATAATGCAGTGAAACTGCATGAGATCTTCAGCGTTTATGTTTTTTTCTTGCACATGCTTATTCAGCAAAGTAACTAGCTCAGAATTGACACCAATCATGGAAGGAGCACCGTCAGTTGCAACTCCCAAGTCCAAATCAGTTTTTGAACACTCATCCAAAAGTACATTGAGTATATCAACTCCTCTGGTTTGACCTTTCAATGAACACATTTCTAATAACTCTTCTAGGACTTCAAAATCTTAAACCCCCATTAAAAAGGTTGAAAATATCAGTGGTTCGGCGGGGCATCGATTCTTAGTTTTTTCATTTAATTGTTCCACAATATAACCTGACAAAGACATAATTCGTCTTTGGATAGTCATACAATTCAGTTGAATTTTCTCAAACTTTTGCTGCTTCTGGACACATTTTCTTAGCAGCAATTTCTATGCATTCTTTTACAAAATCCCCATCATTGAAGGGGTTATGAAATTTCTCGAATGATAGCAAAGCGAATCGCTTTGCTATCAATTCGAGAAATTTCATAACTAACTTCTGTAGCTGTTTCTGAATCTTGAATGGGTTTTGTAAACATAGCTTGCTGACCAATAAGCTCCCGTTTTAAAGACAACATTTTTTGCTTTCTTAATTCGCCTGTAAACTTGGTAAAAGTAGGATGCTGCGTTTCATAGTGCCTTTTTACATTATATATATTCCTTCGCAATCGCAACAGAATTCTTACAAATTAAACAAACGACTTTGTTATGTGACCATACAAAAAAGTATTTCTCAGTCCAAATTTCTTGAAACTGCCGATTTTCATCTTTAACCTTACGTTTTTTACTAGGTCCTGGCTTGTCCATGTTGCATTCTAATCCTGGCTAGGATTAACACAGCACCTAAAAACAATTACAGTACCTGCTTAAATTACCCATCCTTTTTTAAATTACCAAAACTAATTGATTAAATAGGTAGGGAAACACTTATTAATAACAGAGTTTTACTTACGATTTCACAACACAATTATGCACGGCACTTGACGGGAAATCTACGTTGAATGTGGATCAAAATATATGATACCGGCTAGTCGACTTAAAATCTCCACTAGAACTATTGACAGTTCACTCAAATTAAAACCAAACTGTCGGTCGCTGCGGTTAGAGTGGCTTTTATACCGCGCGTATAGAGTCGAAAACTGTCTGGAGAAATCACGAAACCAACTCTGGAAGCTTCGTGTATCTACCTACGCGAGCAATCGGGAATTCGGGACTATTGCTATCTCGCTTGCTCTAACAATATAACCCGTGGATAAGCCGCCACCGCGCTGTTCCTCAAGAAAACGAATTTAACCGAGATCAGCACGAATATTACCGACCGCAGTTACCGACGCATGCACGGCGCACAGATAGGCGCACTTAAGAACGCGCGCGCGAGATTCAAATTACTTTTCGAACATATTTTTTTTTGTTTTAATCTGGAATATAATTCAATATTTTTCGAATGTACGAGAGTATTATTTTTGCTGTCGGCGGGCCACCAGTATTCGACCGGCGGGCCGCATGCGGTCCGCGGCCCGCGGTCTGTGCATCTACGCCCTAAACCCACTTTGCAATGAGAGGAAGCCTGTGCGCAGCAGTGCAACATATATAGGCTGTAACCTCACTTTTTTTTTACTTTAACTATTGTTTGCTATGTAGTGGTGGCATTAGAATATTCACTACCTCATATCATCTAATGGTTATCATAAGAGGGGATGGAAGGAAACTGAAATAGGGGATGGGCGGTAATATCTTGTCAATATCAACCTAAAATCATAGGCACGGTGGTCGCCAATCCATTTGCAAAGTGTGGTTAATATGGTGAAATCCCCCCATAAGGCAATCTTTGGGGAAGACTCATGTTTTACAGTATTGGTAGTGGTTGATTGATAATTGTTGGCAGTAGACTTTTAATAGGCTGTATGGATGAACATTATTGATTGAAATTTGAATCGGTTAAATACATCTATATAACCAGATATCCCTTGCTTAAGCAAAACTGCATAGTCATTCATTGTTATATTACCTATGAGTCCTTATAAAGGATAAAATTTGGTATCTTTTTTTTTATTGTAAAAGTACATGGCTCTATGATTTTGCCAACAAATTGTTGTTGTTTGATGAACTGCATGTGTACTAAACCAGCTATAAACATGATGTTCAATATTTCAGAAAGTATTTGAAGATTTTGCTAAAAAAAGTTTTAATTTAAAAGTAGGTTTTATTAAAAAACATGTTCTCTCCAGATATTTTAAGATTGGTGTTGAGGCTGATTTTCAGATAAAAGTGTTCAGCACTTCTTATGTCTGCTTAACATATTTACAGACCTTTACTATGCTGGAGAAACACAGGCGCTGGAACAGCCCCAGGCATATACATGCCCATTTTGCAACCGTATGGGTTTCACAGACACGGCTCTTATGGAACATGTGACTGCAGAACATGCAGACACAACACTTGCTGTAAGTTTGCAATGCTATAAACATCATTTGTTATATATAGTAGATATGGAGTGTAGAAGTAAGGAGTACAGACTGTGTATTAAAAAGTGTCCATAGAAAATCGTTAAATAAGGGTGGCGCCACTATAGCTACGGGTTAAATTTTAAAGAACGTGCCGAAAAATATTAGTGGGATAGACGACTTTTTCCAGGTTATATTTACTAAATAAAATTATTTTAGATTTTAGAGCTACTGAGCAGTTTAGCAGCACACTTAAACCATCGACAACTGGTAAGTTCATTTCATCCCAGTAGCTACTCCAGCTCTGTTGTGGAGAGTTTTTGAACTGCTATTTACTGCTTACAGATGGCCACTTTTTCAATTATTCTACTATGGGAGTTGGTACTCCTTATTTCTACACTCCATAGTAGTAGATAATTTTTAATATATTTATTTATAAAAATATTGTATGTAATAAATTGTATAGAAAAATCTGGCTTTTAGATTCTTGACTGGATATAATTTGGTATGTTTTGAGATTTTTACTAAATTTTAAATATTCACTCAACAATTAAAACAAACATTTAGGTTTACTTCAAACTTAATGTTTATTTGAATTGTTTACCATTTCAGGTAGTTTGTCCAGTCTGTGCCTCACTGTCAGGTGGAGAACCAAATTTTGTGACTGATGACTTTGCTGGCCATCTAACACTTGAACACCGAACTGGACCCAGAGACCTTATTTCGTTTCTTATATCCTTTTTAATATAATATTTAATAACATGCTATTATCACTCATATCTACATGGTACCTAATTGGGAAGGACTTTAGAATGTGAAATTATTTTATATTCTGTATAGCTATTTGTAGTCAGCTTTTACTTTATATTAAAGTTAATTGTTGTGCCCTTTTAAGTGGACTACAATTATCACAATCTCAATGTGGTTGTAATAATTCCATTAAACACTTTATCCCAAAAAACATTAAATTGAATTGTTGATATCCTCTTTTTTTGAAGTCGTCTAAAAAGCACATGCCAGTGTTTTATTTTGCTGTAAGATCATCATATAACGCAGATAATAACAAACAATGTCTATTATTTTACCTATTTAAAAATGTGTAATGTGATGTTATTAAAATTATAAAGGAAATTGCTCTTGTCGGATTTATTGGAACAAGAATTCTTTTAAATCATTGCAAACACTATACAATAAGTGTTTTCACTTACATGAGTATTCATTTAAAATATCTAAACTACTATCTATAAATATTTAGACTTGCACTGAATGCTTACATAACTCCTATAACAGATTTAAGTACTGAAGCCATACAATATCCAAGCTTTAACTGTAAAGCCATATATTTAATTGTTTTAAACTTGTAAGAGTTTTTTCAGATATATCATATCTTTATCATTATTTTTAGTTGTATAAACAATTATTTTTGCAATAAGATAATGCCTTAACTTCATTGCACGATGAACCCAGTGGAATCAGACATGGTGGAGTCCGTCGTATGCCGCCTTCAGGACGCGGCGTTAGTCGCGCCCGTCGATCCAATATGCAATTTAGGTACAGATAAAAATGTTACTTACTGCAGCTAATTAGTATCTAACATGAGCAATATGGGATAGTAATATTATGTAAATTCAAATTTGTCTAAATTTCCATGTCCCCTTAACTTTATAAAGTTGGAAGAATTCTATTAGTTAATTCTGGCCAAAAGTAGCTAAACGTAAGTTGTTTTCAAATTAAAAGTAAAACAGTTCACAATCGACTTGATAGAAGTGTCTACTACAGCCATATGGCTTGTATTATCACCTCTAAAATATATTAATGGACCTGATGGCTTCTAATTATACTGCATCGCGCTTTCAAAACAGCACACAACAATGTATGTATTGCTTTTTAATGTATTATTGTTGTGTACTGCCAATTAGTAGAGCAAAGAGAATTTTGTTTTCTTACATCCTTCTTTTTCAATTTTGTGATGGGCGTTACGGTTACGACCTTATTTATTTATTTATTCATTATTCAGGTTATAAATTATTAAGCTTATAAAATACCTATTTAACAGAAATTATTATTTATTATTAAACATACTGGGCCTTAACTCATATGCTCTGTACCAGTGCCTCATCATAAGGCAATCTTGCCTTCTATATATGTAAGCTAGGAGACTGTTGGTGCTAGGAGACTTTTTGCTTAATATTATTGCAAAACTGTCTAATCGTGCCTCAGCAAACATAATAAATACATTGTTGTACTGAATACATAATGCATTGAGAGTTCGGCAAGTACACTTCGTCCACAGGCTGCAGGAGTAGAATGTCTCATAGTAAGTTTTGAATAATGTTAACTTCATTTGTATTGTAACCTGTGTGCAAATTTAACACCTCATTGCCAACTCTCTATGTTTCCATTCAACATCTAAATCGTCAGAGAGATCCTTGTTGACCCAGTGTCCCAGATATAAGAATTTGATGACTCACTTAGTGTAACTCCAAGGCTAACATGAGGAACAGACTCATGTTTTTAATTTCCGACCTTAAAAACGAGTAGTTCGCTCATGACCAGACTTTCACAGATGCCCACTAGCGTTTCGAAGGGCCCTGATCGATGATGACCTCAGCAAATACATGTCGTTGACATAGCTTTTATTATTAACAAAATGACCGTCAATTGATCAGTCGACTCCATACTTATGGTATATGTAACAATTTTTTATCGTTTCAACAATGCCAGATGTAAAAAACCCCAGATCACAGATCTGGTACTATAACCACATATTGCTATAATAGTCACTATATTACCATTACAGCTTATCAGAACCGAAGTCCACTGCTGAACATAGGCCCCCACTAAAAATTACCTCATTAGAAGACTGTTTTGCCGTAGTTACCACGCTTGGCAGGCGAATTGACAAAGGTAGTTTTCTTTGTTGTTATTTGGAAGACACTCCAGGGGCTTATTTTCCTCTGTCACTTATCAAGACACCTATGGAATGATATGGGGTAGTCGGTATTTTTACACTACCACTACATGGTAATGTTAAACACATAAAATATAATTACACAAAATGATAATTATGATTATTGTGCTGTAAGAAAAAAGTTACAAGTAAATTATTTACTTAGATATACTTTATGATATATTTTGACAGAAAGAAGATACATATTTGTGGTTTAATTTTCAGTACGAGCGGCGGCATTTCGTCGCTTTCGCCGTCATCGCGTGACGCAGTGGTGGATCCCATAGCAGAACTCTTGTCCCAGCTGTCCGGAGTGCGACGAGGCGCCGGTCAGCCTGGCACGCCCAGCCAGCTGCAACAGCTACAGATGCAGCTGCAGTTGGAGCGACAACAAGCTACGGTGCGTGAGATGGTTGATGTGAAGTGAAAATATTGTGTGTATTTAAATAGTTTGTGTAAAAATTGTGTGGTTTGTGATGCAAAATCTAAATATTCGGCTGCTATTGCTTTCGTATTTTCTACCGTATGATTATTGTTTGGGACAAGGTAGCTATTTAAGTAATAACCCAATTTTCCTTCGATAGATTGACTACCTGGTAGCACATGAATATGGAAAGGAGTGTTAGAGCCTACAGACCCTAGTTTAGTTTAGTTTACGACGGGCTGTTTTCCGCAACTCCACGTCTAAGCGCGTATTTTGCGTGTGGGCAGGAATAATATGCTTATTTGAGCTTGATGCTTACTGATATCTCAATGCTTATTGATATCTCCCCGAAGAAGCTCAGCAGTCCCTTGATGTTGCAAGCAACTTCGGGGAGCGATCCCGGCGTGCCGAGATGTTTAGCCCTGTATGAAGCGACTTCTGGACATGTCAGCAACACGTGAGCCGCCGTTTCTTCCTCTCCCATGCATGCCCTGCACAGGGGGCTGTCATTAACACCTATGGTGAACAAATGTTTGTTAAAAGAGCCATGTCCTGTGATAGCACTTGTTACTATCCTGATCTGTGGCTTGTTCAGCCTCATTAGAACCTTGGTTAGATGACTGTTTATTTCAGGTAGGGCCTCCCTAGCTTGTCTACAGTCTACAAAATTTTTCCAAAGCTGAGCGTGTAAATTATTGAAGTATCTACGTACCAGTGAATGAACGTAGCCAAAGGGGATTGGTATTATTGGTTCTGGCCCTATTATTGCTAGGGCTGATCCCCTTCTGGCCAGTTCATCTGCTGCATCGTTGCCTCTAGATCCACTGTGTCCCTTGATCCATTGCAGAGTCACATTGTTGCACACCGCCATACTGTCGGTCAGTATTCTGATGAGAGAAGTCTTTCACCTTCCTAGCATCTATTGCTATGGCCGCTTGGATGATACCCATGCATTCAGCCTGGAAGACTGTGTTGTGGGTACCCAGCGGTGTGCATATGTGGATATTAAGGTCTTCAGAGAAAGCCCCAGACCCCACCACACCTTCATTTGTCTTAGAGCCATCCGTGAAAACTTTGAGCTCTCTTGAACCCAATCCATCCAGATGGTCAGTTTCCTTCAATTGTATCCTGTACTTCTTATTGAATACAAATTGTTTTGGGATCCTATCATACTTGGCTTGTAAGATAGCAATTTTTGAGTAAATTCTATCGATTATATCTGTATGGGGGACTCTACTCTTACTTAAAAGATTTAGGGTTTTGAGTCTAATGGCAGCTAAAGTTGCTTCTTGTTGTATATGTAGATGAAGTGGTGTTAGCTCCAGCATAGCCTCCAAAGCTGCTGTTGGTGTTGTCCTTATGCAGCCCGTGGCAGCCATACAAGCTAATCTCTGGTAACGCTGAAGCTTTTGTATAGTGGTGGCTTCATTGGTTTTGTTCCACCATACCAGAGAGCCGTATGTGATCATGGGCCGAATTACAGTTTTGTACAGTCACAGTATAATTTTTGGCGTTAAACCCCATCGTTTGCCGATCATGTTTCTGCACTGCCAGAAAGTTATACTAGCTTTGCTGATTTTGTTTTCTATGTGTTTGTTCCAGTTAAGTTTACTGTCCAAGGTAAGACCTAGGTATTTAACCTCGGAAGAAAGTTGGAGTTTTGTGCTGAAAAGACTTGTAAGATGATAGTTATTCAGCATTCGTTTTTGTGTGAACATTACTATAACAGTTTTATTTGGATTAACGGTTAGGTCATATTCCCTGCACCATCTCTCCACAATACGGAGAGCCGCTTGGGTCAGGTCGCACACAATGCTTGCTGTCTTACCAGAGACCAGTATTGTCACATCATCCACATAACCGACTGTGTAGAAATGATTAGCGTTTAATTTGCTGATGAGTTCATTAATGACCATATTATTCCACAAGAGAGGTGAAAGAACCCCACCCTGCGGGCATCCTTTCATGATCTGAATTGTCTGAGATTCACCAGCAATCTTTATTGTTCGTGTACTGAGCATGTTTACTATCCAGTCAATCAGCGCCGGTTCAACATTATGTCTACTTAGGGCACCTTTTATGCTGGAGGAATTTGTTCTGTCAAAAGCACCTTCTATGTCTATGAAGGAGCCTAGACATATTGCTTTGTTTTGGATGGCCTCTTCAATATTTGTTATTACCTGGTGAAGTGCCGATTCTGTTGATTTACCTAAGCTATAAGCGTGTTGTTTTTCGTGTAGCGCTAAGTTAATTAGCGCCGACCCTCTCAACTCCCGTTCACACATCCTCTTCATCGTCTTTAGGAGAAAGGATGTAAGGCTAATAGGTCATACCTATTAGCCTCACATCCTACAGCCTACAGACCCTAACTAAGTTACCATATCTGGCAGTGCCTAGCAGTCCCTAATACCCTAGCCCTAACATATTAATATACATACATAAATTAGATAAGTGCGGGATGTCTGCACCATGAGACCTAAGGTAGCAGATGGACAGAGACAGAATGTCAGGGTTAGATGATAGGTTCTCTCACTGCCAGTCAAGCAGACTCACAAGACTGATCAGGGTTTCTGACGGCTAATGATGTTTTAGACGCATTGAGAGGAAGACCTTACCAAGAGACTGATGTGGATTCTTTTACGCCGCCCCTTCACAACATTAATTTAGAGCAAATAAAAACACGGGGCTTAACTCCTCAGTCACCAAGCGGTCGAATCCGACCGCGGCGCTATTCCGTCAAAATCCAAGGTTCAACCGCACAGCACTTTAAACCATTAAAACTTATATTTAGAGACTACTTTTCTATGAAGAAGTTTGGCATTATAGAATGGAATGGTGCGGTATAGAATTACGCTGCATGGTATTTTATTGGGATTGAGGGTTAACAGTAAAAAAAGTGATATTTCGGTGGGAACTTTGCCCCCTGTGAAGCTCCTCTAGCATCGTTAGAATAATAGCTTAAAGTGGATTTCGACATTTTTTTTATAGGATAGTGTAACTGTGAGCACACAGTCCACCTGATGGTAAGTGGTTGCTGCGGCCCATAGACATCTACATCTATCCTCGGTTGCAAATAAAAATGCAGATGCGTTGTCACCCGTAAGGACTAAGATGGAATGCCTCGTTTCCAGTAAAAAGGGTCTCCGGTTCTATATACTCACCATACGAAACATAGCAGCATTAAGCTACTCTTTGATGCTGGTATTCTGTAAGAGCGTGGTCCTTCCCTGGTCGAGCTAACCCATTCGTGCCACAACTATACTACTAATATAACTGCAGCATGGCTCTACCACATATAAAAAAATATTTTTGTTGCCTATGCCTATATCTATTAGGGCTAATAATCTTGCATTCACCAGACATGGCTAATTGGGACTGAGTTATTTCTTGCACAATGTCATTATAATTAATAAGTTTATCAGTTTGGAAATAATGAGAATATACAAAACAATGCCACAGCAGTTTGCTCTAAATTTTTGGTACATTTTAACTATGTATAATTTTTTTACTTTAAGTAATATTCGTACTACCCATGTGTTTAAAAAATGGGATTGAAAATGGCGTCGCCTCTATTCACCTCACGCTCGCACACTGTCGTTATCTGTACTCACACTCGCCGGTAAAGGCGACAAAAAAATACCGTTATTATTGTTGATTTTTTTTGTTAATATTTTTGTATAAAATATTTTAATGACATTGAGAAATTAATAACCTTTTTTTAAATTTTCGTTCTTCTGTCTTGTGTTCTAATTTTTGGAATGACTGAATCTATTGTAAGGAAACTTCACAAACAAATAGAGAGTAATACCATCACTGATTTAGATTAAAGTTTGCTCGAAAAATTGAGAGATTTTATTAATAGAGCAAATCGCTTTAATAAATGTTATTTTAAAGTAAAACCCACTTGCATATTGATACTGTTCTTTACAAATATTTTCCTATGAAAAGAAATTTTCCAATTAACCGAATAATATAATGTTATAACGATATACCGTTATAAGTGGGTTACTGCTATTTGTATTGTTCATGTTGACGGTACGGGCTTGATGAGTCGCCATTTCTAATCCCGTTCTTTATCCGTACGGACTGTAGTTTGATTTATTTCATTTCTTATCTAATGTATATAAAACAGAACTAATTTTGTAATCGTTTCATACATTATTTTTTTGTGGTAGAGCCATATTATGATGTAGCTATGTTATGGTTGTAGAACGAATGGGTCAGCTGGACAGTAGTGACATTGCATCTACATTTTGTTTATGGAGTGTAGAAGCAAGGAGTACCAACTCCGTAGAATAGTTGAAAAAGTGGCCATCTGTAAGCAGTAAATAACAGTTCAAAAACTCTCCACAACAGTGCTGGAGTAGCTACTGGGATGAAATGAACTTAGCAGTTGTCGACGGTTTAAGTGTGCTGCTAAACTGCTCAGTAGCTCTAAAATCTAAAATAATTTTATTTAGTAAATATAATTCGAAAAGTCGTCTATCCCACTAATATTTTTCGGCGCGTTCTTTAAAATTTAACCCGGTAGCTATAGTGGCGCCACCCTTATTTAACGGTTTTCTATGGACACTTTTTAATATTCTCCGTCATGAAATATGTCAATTACTTCATTCCTTAGTGGCGTTGCTGGTGGCAGAATAATTGTGGATCATTGCCAAAATAAATTAAAAGTAATAAAAAAGAATGTGATTGCAGGCGGCCCGACAACAGCTGGAGCGGCTGCCGCGGCGCGCGGCCGCGTCGTCGAGTGGCGCCGCCGCGCCACCGCCCGCCCCGCCCGCCCGCCGCGCCGCAGCCGCAGCCCGACGCCTGCGACTCCAACTTCCTGCTCGCAGGCTTCCTAGGTAACATTTCTTATTTCAACTAGAGATGCACCGAATATTCCTTTCATATTCGGTATTCGGCAGTTTTACTGAATATTCGGCTAAATCACCGAACATTCGTTAAAGTGGTACTCAAAGTGTCCATTGTATTGAAATGTACGAATTGAGTAATGCCATGTCTTTAATAATTTTACTGTTGAAAGTATATTTTATTTATGGGTTAAATCTACTTGTATTGCGTTATGTTTTTGAGACACTGTAGATTTATTTCCAATTGTAGCAAATAGGAAGCTGGATAAAATGTTTTTGTAATTAAACAAAGAAACATTACATTACATTAGTACGATTCACTTTCATCTGATCTCTCTCCCGTCGTGTCGGTTTACCGTCCCATCGGATTATGAGAGTGAGGGAATAGAGAATGCACCTGTGCTTGGGCACTATAATCCTGTCCTGCGACGATGGCTAGCCTCCGTTGAGGCTGGACGCCGTGGCCGAAATTCGGTCGTTCAAATAGTAGATCTCCTGCCACTGATTTTTATCATATAATTATCAATTTTCATTAAGAATAACACAACGAAATACTTTTTTTTCTCACTAAAATAGTCAAAACATAAGCATGTGCCGGCAATTTGGCTAGTACTAGATGATGCAATAACATGTCAGGTGTGGCGGGAAAGCGAGGGCAGGGTCTTGCGCTTATTCCGGGCGCTTTACGGTAACAAGTTTCGACATAAATTGGTTAGGTGCCGCGGTGATCCGGCCGAATAATGTTCGGCCGAATATTCGGTTCGGTAAAAGGTTTACCGAACTTTCAGCCGAATATTCGCATTCGGTGAAATCCGTATTCGGCCCATCTCTTATTTCAACTCAAAACTTTTTTAGAACCATTGTTGACACTAAAAAAAGATGTCATGCTGTAATATAGGAAAGGTGTCAATGAAGGAGACGTGTGGTTGGTACTAAAACTTTAATTAGACTGCCTCATTATTCTACCTTAACACTAAAGTATATTAACGTGGGAGCACTACACTACACCTCCCACCGACAAAAGAATAAAAAAATATGATATCTATATTTTTTTATCAATTCTTAAAATAGATCCTTAAGATTATTCTAAAAAAAGTTAATATCATTATGAAAACTATAATCTAAGACATATCTAACACGCAAAAATGCATAGTCACAGTAGTATAATTGACATAATCAGACACAATTATGTATAACATAAAATTATGTTTTGATTTTCACGAAAATTTACAATATTATTTCTTCGTATCTTTAATCATTTTGTTATTATGCCTACCATTTATCTAGTCAGGACAATAATGATAATATATATAAATTACGTGTCACGTAGTTTGTCCGCGATGGGCTCTTAAACTACTCAACCGATTTTAATAAAATTTGCACACCGTGTGCAGTTTGGTCCAACTTAAAAGATAGGATAGTTTTTTTTGACCATGAGTGACTTACATATTTTTTGCAAATTTAAGGATTTAATAGGCTATGACAAAGGGTCGTCGAAAAGAGCAGAACAACGTCTGCCTGGCTAGTAGCTAGTATTATATATAATATTCTCTTAATCTTCATAATCTTTTACATTTCAATATTTTATTCTTTTTTTCATATATTTACTTCATTCTTAGTTAACCATTACTTATTTATTTTCCTATTTTATCCATAACTAGGACTTTAGCTATTCATTACACATGTATGTCATTTCTTTCACGTACACGGCTCGCGTAACATGATCAAGAAAATTACCAATATCATTTAATTCACTTCTTTACATTTCAGCTCATGTAATTCATTATTTAATTGTACCATAACTTTCACGTACACAACTCGCGTACATACATGATCAAGATAGTGGACAATATTCCTATACAATTCATAATAAATTATCATTTCCCTCATTAAGGCCGAATACGACGCGAATGACCTTGCTCGTTTCGCAGCAAACCACGCGCCGCCAGTACCTACGCTTTGTTTAAATAGACATGTATAATACCTATAATCAAAGCCGTACGGGCTTTGATTATATTATATTTGACTGAGCTAGCTCAATATGCAGAGTAATGAACAACAACTTACTTCTTAAATAAATTCTTATTTATAATATTAGTTCCTATAGATTATAAATTCTGTACTTTATTCGTTATAAAATATTGTTCGAAAAGTTATTGAATTGATAACGATTTTTTTTCTTAATTGGTGCATCCTACGTAAAGAACCTCATATAACTGAAAATGTTTGTTCTTGTGAGTCTTACAAGATGCCGTAATGCAAATTGCATAAATAATAAAGAAAAAAGAAGTCGGTGATTGCCCCATAGTGGGGATAGGTACTGTGTATGTAAATTCTCACAAGACTACTAGACTACTAGACTGGTCAATCACTTCACATCCGAAGTATTTCGGTTTTTCTTAATTATGTACTTACCCCATGCTTTCGGACAATACATTGACTATGATATTATTTGCGGTCTCTGTGCTTGCACTACTCTGTACATTCTTTTCCGACTGGGTCTTGATATTTACATTTTTAGTGTTTCTCACTTGAAACTAGAAAAGTATAAATTATCCGTTTGGCTAATGTAAATGAGTAAAAATGCAACCTATTAGGCATCCTCAAACAAAAAATTACCTTACAAAAATATAAGTATTAACCTCAAAATACAACATTCGAGCAGCGTTTATGCGATAAACTCTCTTTGTTTTACGACTTAGGTAACATTTATTTCTTTTCCTACCCATATTTACATTTATAGTCACTTAATCGCGTACAAAACACTAAATTAACGATTTTCGCTACAGACACATTGACTGTTGTTACCTTACGTCATACGTCGAAGCGCCTGGTAATTTATCACGGCAAACTTTTATCTGCCAATATAAGATATTATTATTAGGTGTTTTTAATTAAAACGAATTATGTTAATAAATAATATTTTGTATCGAAAATAAAGATAGCAGGTACCTTCGGAATCACAATACAAACATTTTTACGTAAAAGAATTTTTCCTAAATTAAAATTCACAGAGTTTTGGAAGAACAATAATTTTATATATCATTTCTTAACATTTTTTTATTTGTTGGTATATTCATTTATTTTAAAATTTTAAAATGACATCACCTTGTGAAGGACCCGAACAAACCTACAAAAATGTTTTAAAGCTTAGAATTACTTCAGGTCAAAGTTCTAGTCAAGAGAAATATATTAATTTTCGCCAGTTCTCTTCGTATTCGGCCTTAAAATACATTAAAACTTATTCCGCATTTAATTGTGTCCGAACAACCTTATAAAATTAATCGGCTATTAGGGTTTCCAAACTCTCAGCTGATCAGGCTGATTGTATGTGGATATCCTAACCTCCGATAATTTTCTTTATCTTATTCTCGCACCTATACATTATCAATATTTTCATTTATAATTATGTATTCCTTAACTAACCATACATTTAATCACATCTTTTACTTTATGTCATAAAATAATCTCGTATAATATTTAGTTACAGTTTAGGTTTAGTTCAGTCAGGGATTGAGGTTCACAATATGGGAATAACAAACTTTAAACCAATTAGTTGTGTAAAACATCATATATGTAGTGAGTTTCAAAATCGTATTATCCGAAGAAAATACTTTCATAATCTACTCAAATTAGCACTGTTTTCCAAGAAAATAATAAATTATAATACTTAAAAGCTTATGATTTAAATATTCAAACGATATAAAACCGAAAATAAATTATTACATTTCACATTAAGATAAACAGTACAAAGAAGTCAATGTTAAGCAACGTAATCATTATAATTAATATAGCAACACACAGATCAAAATACAAATTGTAATCCTAACACCGCAAATATTTGGAGACAAGTTTGTTTTAAATTCCAAGGTACGTATAAGGCATCGTTTGTAATTACATCGGACTGTGATGACACGGTGCGATTCACGCCTAATTTCAAGATAACTTTTACAATATTTTATAATATGAATGCAAGTAAAATGTACCTTAAAAGGATAGTTTTAAACATTTCCTTAATTTACACAGAAGTTTAGAAATAGTTACATTGTTAATATTTATGTTACTTTTACATCACAAAATGCATTAGCTTTTTTTTTTTAAAAAAATACTATTTCTATAAAAAATGCTTTTTAAATCGTGAATTATCTGATAAATACTTTCAATTTAATCATATTTTAAAAGCAAAAACAATATTATAAAATCTCAAATTATTAAAGTTTTAAATGGAAATCTCCCTAAAAAACAAAACTCCCAGGACACTAAATTTTATGAAAATCGTTGGAGCCGTTTCCGAGATTGTATATATATATATATATATGTATAAGAATTGCTCGTTTAAAGGTATAGGATTAGTCGTGTTTAGTCCCCCTAGCATCTATTTTACATACCACTTTATAGTCAATCAATTTAGTTCTATCAAATACTTGTTCTCTTAAGGTGAAACCTACGGACTGTTCCCAGCCATTCTCCCGCAAGATGGCGCTGAAGTCAACATTTTTAGTTTATTTGGAGTTTTGTGTAATTGGAAAATTATTAAGTCGTAGGAGTAAACTTAGCGGTTATCGGATATTACTTTTTATTGGAATGGGTCATATCATTGCCTCAAAATCCACCCAATTCGACATTAATTTTGATTATAACATCTGTCATTGAATATAGGGTCGTTTACACACACAGACGTATCCCTACGTTTACGAAGCTAGAACACTAGATGGCGTGTATGTGAAAAAAACAAGTTTTTAATTTTTGTGTGTGTGTAGATTGGGTAGGCAGAACTACAAAACGCTATGTACGATTGTTATAAAAATAAAATTTATATTTGTTGGCGTAAACTATTTATTGATTTATAACTTTGGGAAATAAATTATGTCAACATTGATTACAATATAACGCAGTTTTGTAACAGTACCAATTATTACAATAATTAGATATTTCATAACCAACACGTAACTGACTAAGTTCGAAACAAACCGTCGTCATATGTTAGTCGT